CGGCCCATAAGAACACAGTCTGATCTCAGGACATAAAACTGATTCAGACTTAAAACAAAAATGACAGAACAGGAAATCTGAACAAGAGTTGGAACCTGTGCTGATGTTAAAGCTCTCTTTTAGTTTTTAATAAATGTGTTTTCTGCTGCTGCCGGTTCTCATTTTTCTTCTGAAGGTGAAGCCGAGGCTGGAGGTCGTCTCTTCTCTTCTTCTCGGGGTTTCTTCTGAATAAACAGTGCATGTGTGACGCAGGCCTCAGCCTCCGCTGTCAAGTGGAGATTTATCTTTGAATACAGGTTCGGACTAATTCTGACCCGGATAAAACACAGACTTGGTTCCTACTAGCTGTTGATCTGTGACTGGATATAAAAAGTAAATAAGCTCAATAATTGATGTCAGTATAAAAAGCACAATGTTTTAGTTTTCCAAAGCTTCTCCTGACATTTTAATGTTCAGTAGCCCCACAGATTATTTAGTGTAAATGAGAAGGAGCTGCTTGTTTCAGATCGTTGTGCAGAACCAGAACCACATCATCAGACGGGCCTCAGCTGATGACATTTAGCCGTTAATGAAAGCCCAGATGAAAGCCGAGAGCTTCAGGTCGCAGCACAATGCAAATCAGACGAGGAAAAGGGCACAAGCCTTTTCCCTCGCGCGTCATCGTTCGGCTCCGACCTGACCCGGGGTCAGCGCCACCAATCAGGAGAGCTGCGTGATGTGGTGCTGTCAATGATAACAGAGTCCTCAGGCTCCTGACCTCTGAGACATGAAGCCGATCGTGTTTAACAAGCAGGTGGGAACAGTTCAGATCATTCTGCTTGTTTCCAGGTATTAGACACGACCCCCGAGAGGCTCGCCGTATGTGTTCTGCTGTTTTTACTTCAGTAAGTCGTTACTCACATGTAAAACAAACAAAATGTAACTTTGATTTTCTACAAACAGCAACACAATTTAGTTTATTTTATGCACAAAACACAACAAGACTTTTTTAAGCAATAAATTAGAGAAACTACAGAATTTAGAGTTCAAATGGTGATAAAAGACCAAAACGACAGAAAATGAGTTCAGACTTAGTGTGACAACAAGAGATAAAACATAAACAACACAAATATAAAAAGGATCAAAGTGACACAAAATTAAAGACAATAATTAATGTAATGATCATCATTGTCATTAATTAGAGACGAACTTGAACAAAAAAAATGATCAAAATG